TTTATTACACAAATACAGGTTCAGCTGCATCTGTGATTTTATGTACACAACAAAAGTTTTTTCTCTACTTGAGGGTGAAGATGATATCAACATTGCATTACTTTGTTTGCTTCTTGCTGATTTTTTTTGTTTTTGTTCTTGCTTTCTGGAAGATTTCAAGGAGTTTGTTACATTTGGATCAACAACACTTATGTCGGTTTGTGTGGGTATGTGTTAACTGTCTCGGCATCTGTCTGAGGTGAAGATATGGGTTCTCGCCAAATCTTTCTTAAAAATAAAAGATGAAAAAGTAGAACAGTATTTTTTAAATAAAAGAGAGATCGATTTGATATAGTGAATATATATGAGATATAGATATAATGGTTAAAGTTTATGTAATATAAAAATAAGAAAATAAAAAATAAAAGTTTTGGTACTTATAAATATATAATTGAACTAAAAGTATTTTATGTTGGAAATATATAATATTGATTAATTTTTATTTTTAAATTGTATTACTGGAATTTGAATATAAGAGAGATGAAATTAATAGTACTTTTTGTGAAATTTTGTAGTTTAGTTTTAGTTTCAATGACATAGATCCTTCTTGAACCAACGAGAAAAATAGAAATAAAAATGTATCCAATTACAATTTGACCTTGTGATTCTATCTAAAAGGAAATGAATTATCTACATTTGATATTGCTGCATTTGTTGTTGAGGTAAAAGATAAAGTGACCCATAAATATTTAAAAACATGTATTTTAATACATGTAATCCATATTTGTATTTTTATTTTTTATTTTATATATATCTTTCTCTAACTTCAGCTAAAGTTCAAATTTAGAGAATTCATTCTCGATTTAAAATGGAAGTAGTAACAATAAAATCAAAAAATAAAATAAATAAAATGAGGAAAATGCAGGTCAACAGGGAAAGTCTCTCCTCATGCCCATTGACTAGCTTAATGTAGCTAATCATTGCTATTTCGAAATTAAACACACTAAAATTGCCACCCTTCATCCAATATAAATTATGTTGTTAGTTAAAACTAATTTATCCTAATTTAAGAAGTACCACTTCTAATATTTACATATCAAGTCAAGATACGTTTATTAATGCGGTATGTTTTTATTTTTTTGGTATCTATACTTATATTAAAGGGGGTACTATTTACTAAATTAAGTAGCCAAAAAAGTCAACAGCATTTATTGCATTACTATTTCCGTATTATATCATATAAAAGGATATTCTAATTACTACATTTACTATCCAGACAACTGCATTAAATGTCATTACTATTTTGGTATTATAATATTTTATTTATTTAATTGATTTATTTATTTGTTTTATTTTAAAAATGTAAGTATAATAAAAATATTTTAATAATAAAAAAATCAAATACCAAATAAATATGTACACTTTGACTTATTTGATTATATTTGGTATTTGATTATACCAAATATATTTCTATTTAGTATATACATCAAATACTTACTAAAGTATTTATTTGTTTTATTTGTCAAAGTTAAGTATAGATTTGTTTATATTATCAAATCAAAAAAAAATATTAAATCCATATTGTGAAAAAAAAAATCATATAATTTTATAACAATTCTACTACACTATTTAACAATATTTCTTTTTTATTATATAATTAAATATTATATGGTAAACAACAATAAGTAAAACTGTTACTTTCTCTTATATCAAGGGATAAATTTATATGCTAAAATTAAATTTTTATTAGTATAAATGTTTTAGTGAGATAATATATTAATTATTTTACAAGCTAGCCCTAACATGCTCATAGTTAATGTTTTAAAAGATGTAGAAAAAAAACTTATAATAACTTTATTGTTTTTTAGACTTAAACGTTGATTAAAAGAGGTAAAAATTTGAAATTTTTTAGACTTAAACGTTGATTAACACCATAGATTGAGAGTTTATATTTAGTAAAAAATTTCTAATTGTAATAAAAAAATTAATTTTTGCTATATTTTAGAATATCTTTAAATTCATTATAAAAAAAAAAGAAAAAAAAAACTACAATGAAAAAAGCAAGTCAACTATATATCGAGTTGTTGTACTCCTCAAATCACATTCACAATTTGGCTACAAGGAAAGGAAACTCATTGATTAAAATATTATTTTGTCAGTAGTCTTAATGTACAAGAGATTTTAAGACTCCACTTGAATATTATAAAACTTTTATTGAACATTGTACAATTTCTTGTGTATTAAAAATTTTTATTGAATATTGCATCTTATAATATAATATTCTCCAAATAAATATAACTCGTGCTTCGCACGTACTATATATATCTCGTACATTTTTCTTTATTCATGTATATAATTATAAGCCTGGATAAATAGCCTTAAAATTGTGCACCCCGTGCATCGCACGGGCTCTGTACTAGTACAAATTAATGCGGTATGTTTGAATGCGCCATTAATTAGTAAAAAGTGGACAGTGATCACTTTTGACTTTAGCATTTCAATTTATCATATAAAATTTCTATTTTAATAATTTCAATTATTTCTAATTCTTTCTTTTCTTCTCTTCTTATATTGGCCATTCGATTTTCCAATGAATGGCCACCAAGTTGACAATTGTCATCATAGAGATGAAAAAAAAAAGTAAAAAAAAAAAGTTAATTTTACAAGAACAAAATGGTTTTTTAAAAACAGAATGAATATAAAATAAAAATACAACGATTAGAGTTAAAGTGTTGTAAAAATGATAAAATATTGATCATTAATGATAAATAGTTAGAAAATAAGTGAATAAGTAGTAGGAAATGGTCATTTTTTTTCAATCGCTTAGGTGAATTTATAGAGAAAAAATGACATAAATTAATAATATTTTTTGGACCTTATTTTATTAACTAATGTAATATTCTTGAGTGACCAAACAAAAAGTGGACAATCTAACTTTCTGATTTACTTGACTAAGTTCTCAACATGATCATAACTAGATATGACATTATTTCTCGTACAAATAGTTGTATATCTAAACAAATTTCTATGCTATATATATTTTATATATATAATAGCCATAAATCATACGATTAAGCACTATAAAAACAGAGCAAACCTTCAAAGTCGAAACTATAATCGTTAATGTAACTTTGACAACTCCAATCTACATAACCAAATAACTAAATCAAAATTAAATATTTCAATAAATTTCACTTATCTATATACCATTTTTCTAATACAAAATATTATAATATATGACCGAATAATTAAATTCCAACGACAGACCACACTCGAACAAATGCACAAGCTAATAATAAAGTTCAATTAAAAAAACTTGGAACATGTGACAACAGCCATGCAGAGTCCATATGAAAAGACAAAATTACCCTCCCAATGACTGTCGGTGGACGGTGTGATAAACCTTACCACGGTGACCAAACTGTAAATTGAATCTTCACCATTTGAGTGTATTATTTAAGGTAGAACTCTTTCACATACAAATAATCTGCACATACTTTTAAGTGAGAGAGAGAGAGAGAGAGAGAGAGAGAGAGAAGGAGAGAGAGAGAGCATTTAGGAAAAAGTTGACGACTTTTGTACTGTGCCAACGACTAAGCTGTACCATAACAGTAAGAAATGTCTGCATTTTGTTTTTATTTTCCCTAGGAAAAACCACAGCGTTCATATCTACTAGTAATTTCTCTTGCTGGGAATGTTGCAATCACCTACTTGCAAGTAAAAAAGTTCCCTTTTCTTATATTTGTTTGTTTGGTTTTGTGATTTTTAAGATTTTAGGAATTTTATTTTCTGGGGTGGTTATTGTTCTTCTTGCTTGCAATTATCTCATATTATTATGCTGCTTGCTTATACTGAAAAATCTCTCTGTATTTTCTTTTGATTTGCCCTTCGTTTAATATGAGTTCAAGAACACTTTTCTGCGCAGTCGATTTATTGTTTTATTTATTTATTTTTAATTTTTGTTCTTGTTGATTTATTTGGCAGATGCCTGTGAAAGCTGCAAAATGGGTTTTAGGATTAAACCACCACATAGTCCAATGGTGGTTCAAGATTTTGGTGTTTGGGGTCTTTCTTGCAATCTTGATAGTTTGGGGGATTGATGGGTTAAATATGAAAACTCTGGACAAAGATTTTGCTGTGTTGAAGCCCAGCGGTTCTGAAATTCTGCCAATACCCCTTAAAGATTCAAACTTTAGTAGAAATTCTTCACTCGAGCCCCAGTTGATAGTTGCCCAGCAGCTTGATTCAAACCTCTCCCAACAGAACTTTACAAAAACCCAAGAAAATCTTGATCCTTACATTGCCCCTGAGCCACACAACTCTGTTCTAAATCAAACCCAGATTATTTCCCT